GAGAGAGAGAGAGAGAGAGAGAGAGAGAGAGAGAGAGAGAGAGAGAGAGAAAGGTGTTTTGTTTTGTTTTTTCCAGGCTAGGTTTAAAAAATTCTAGGAGGATAAATCTTTCTGGAATTGCCTGCTGTACACTGGGGCTGTCTGGAAACTTTGGCTGCATCTATTTCTCGTCCTCTGCCCAAGCCTTTGCAAACAGTTACATAACCCTTGCTAGTAAGGAATTCTCCCCTCCTCCATTCTGGGGCTAATTAATAGTCGCTGTAATAAATAACCCCAGCGCGGGGGTGGGGTGCAGTATAGAGCCCAAGTGCTTGCCTCGTTCCTTCCCCAGTACCAAACAAACAAACAAAGCAAGCATAAGTAAGACAGCTCTTCAGCTTCTAACTGGGCAGTTGCTCTCCTCTGATCTCCCAAAGGCCCTGCTGGGACCTGGGTGTCACCGCTTGTTTTCAGAAAACAAAGACAAGTCAAAGTCCTGAGCAAGAAAAGGACAGTCGGGGGCCGGGGAGATGGCTCAGGGGAATAAGCACTTCCTCAGCAAGCACAAGGGCCTGAGTTCAATCCCCGGTTCTGGCAAAAAGACAAAGAGGACCGTCTGGGGTTTTAGGAACTCTGCTTCCTCCCCTGGTGCTGTGGCTCCGGGCCAACACTTGCAACCTTCAGTCAAGCTGGTGGCCGAGGACTCCTGGGGCTCTGGGGTACAAAGGCAGACAGGAGAGCTGAGAGTCCCTCACTGTGCTGATGGAACAGCGATGGGATTCCCGTGTGGTTACATACAGCATCGTGACTGTATCTTTCATTGTTCTACTGCCATCTGAGGTGTTTCTAGTCCTCGACTTTGATTCAGGGTCTCACTGTATAGTCCAGGCTGGCCTAGAATGCATGTGTATCCTCTTGCCTCAGCCTCCTGAGCGCTGGGTGTGCAGCACCACACCCAACGGGCTCCTGAGTGTTGCTTTAGAGCTTGATCCTCACTTAGCCAGGTGTGATGCGCCCCCTCTAAAGGACACCCCAAAGGCCACCCCCAGAGCCAGCACTGCAAAGCCCTCTCAGGAAGCTGGTCTGTAGCTGTGAGACAAGCAAGCCACTTCCTGGCCGAAAGATAGGGAGCTGGAGAAGAAAGGAAGTGACTCAAGCGTGTAGGGGATTCTGAGTCAGGGAGCGCCTTGGGCCCTGGCCTCCACCCTTATGACAGTGGTGTGCCAGTCTGCCCAGGACCGTTCCCACTTCAGCATTCAAAGTCTCCTGCTCCAGGCCCCCTTTGGACCTTGGAAAAATGGGATAGTGGATCACTCCACAGAAGAGCAAATTACAGAGGCTTTAAGAGTCCACCCTGAACCAGGCATGGTGGCACAGGCCTGTCATCCCGGCACTCTGGAGGCTGAGGCAGGAGGATCGCTGTGAGTTTGAGGCCAGCCTGGCCACATAGTAAGTTCAAGGCAAGTCTCAAAAAACTAAAAAGATGGTTTTTCAAGAGGGCTTCACACTTTGTTGTGATCTCAAGGGACTATAGGGGGGTCTGTTTTGATGGGGAAAGGACAAAACACGGAGCCTAGAGCAGCCTCAGGAGGAGACAGCTGCCCACCCACACAGGCCTCTTCTCAGCAAAGGAAAACAAAGAAAAGTGGATCAATTTTAGTCTTGGCCAACGCCTCATGTCATGGAACTCCTTATTGGAAGACACAATTGTAGCTGAGTAAACCCAGAATTTTTGGACTGAGCTACACCCCCCAACCTTATTTCTTCTTCTTCTTCTTCTTCTTCTTCTTCTTCTTCTTCTTCTTCTTCTTCTTCTTCTTCTTCTTCT